CAGTAAAAGTAAACAGTGAACTTAAGAACTGAACCTCTGACAAAGCACATTTGCCCTCTCCAGCACAGATTCCACCCACCTAAGATGTCAGTCACCATCTGTGCAGAGAGATACCTCTCGCAGGGCACGCTGGAAGGGGGTGGCAGCCTGGTGTGCACGTATTTACCTAAACTGCTCACCACTGTCAAAAAATCCACATTGTCCTACTTTATATTTAGAGTAATCGTCCAGTATCCCCAAATGTGCTCACCCCAGGTACACTTCGCCTCTGCATTACCTACACTCTGAGCACGGGTGCGACAGCCGCAGGGAGCACTGCATTGCCTGGGCCTGACTGCGGCAAGCCTCCTTGGACTGCACTGCAAGTGGGACAGTATTGCCACTAGGAATACATAGGCAGTGGTACTGTATGGTTTTCTAACAATATCTGGGAAATCTGCACATACACAGAACAAGTGTGCAGCACTCTTCCTCACTCTGCTACATGCTAGCTGACAAATTTTGGAGGCCCATTCAAACTGGTCCTAGGACCTATATTTCTTAAGACAGAACTGACAAACACCTATCTACAAACACAAATTTAAAAAATACTTTATTATTTCATCATAATAGAAGAGATTTATATTGGACAAGCAATGGAGACAGCTTGGACTAGTGTGCACACGACAAAAAACATAAATTCATTCGAAATTTTGTAGACAGTGTCGTTCAATTTTCACTGTATTGCAATGAGCAACATGACAATTCTTATCTTACAAATCATGTTTCTCACAGCTTTGAAACCGAACAAAGTAAACAGGAATAGCTTTGAGAAAGAATAGGTGAATTTAACAATATAGAATGTTTACAAATTGATCATTATGATTTTTTACATTTACTGATTGAGGATCCTTTTTATTGTCTCCTAAAAGTTACAATTTCATAAAACGACTGGCATTTCAAGAATTGTTTTTGCCTAACATCTTAATCAATTTTGTTCTTTTAGGAAATACACCTAGCATTTTAGTCCAAAATATATGGTCACCTTTTTTTATCTGTAAAAAATATTTTTAAACACAACCACACTGATGGGGAACGCTATCCTGCAGATAAAGCGGACCATCTGCTACACCAATCCCCAGGGTTAGTGACAATGCTGAAAAGGAGATACAGCTTTTGCAGTTTCTGTCACACTAGTGGCTCTTCATCTTAGTCCCACGCTTCACACCTAGGCCAACTCCCTCTCTGCTCCTCAGGCTGTTGCTGCTAGACCTGCACTCCTTCCTCAGTAAATCCCAGCTCCCTACGCCAAAGCTCATATGCCCCGCTCAGCTCTCCTATACTTCTCTCTAAACATCCTTTTCTCAACCGCTCACAGCTTTTCCCAAATCTTCTCCTTATGTTTCCAATCTGCTGCTTCTCAGCCAAGCTCAGTATACTGCAACCTACAGGTCTGTCTCCTTCACTTTTTCTCTTCTTCCCAGAATACAGCTCACGGGTTCAGTCTACTTGACCTGCAGGTTTTGTTCTCCCCTCTTCTGGTTCACTCCAGTCTCAGTAACCATCTCAACCCACTGGTTTGCAGCTACGCAATCCCATTTTATTTTGTAGTTCTTAAACTTACTCTCCAGGTCAGTCCAGCCTCCTGCAGCCTCTGGATTCCCACTCCAATATAAAAATTCTCAGGCTAGTTTATGACTCGTATTTCCTGATCCAAACATAGTTGCATTACAAAACCTACACTGGATCTTAAGAATCTAGCTCTTTTCCTTCTACAGTTGAATCTCCATCTTCAATGGAGAGTATCTACAATACCAGTATCTACAGTACTTCTTCATCATTCCTGTGTTTCATTCAGCTGTCAACTGGGTGCCTGAGTGATGTTTAGGTATTTACCAACTTTCTCTGCTCCCATTTCTAGCTCACAGTTTCCCTCATCCCAGATCTAAAAGAGCCAGGAGCATTTCAAGGCAACAGTTTCTCTGATCATTACAAGAAACATGCAGAAAAATGATTTTGCCTGGTCCCCTCCCTGAAGACAGTCAAGTTATATTTTCAGAAGTTAAGGAAAAATTACCTTAAGACAGACAGCTACTGAAATGAGCTCAGCCCCAAATATTTAAAGTCACAGGCATTCAGTAATAACAGATGCTCTTCCCAGAGCTCTTAATCCAGCAGCTGGTGCCTGTTTCCATTGGACTTGTAGAATGAAAAGGCTATCTTCACTTCTTACATGTATATGTATGTTTAAAAAGGTAATGTCGACCTTTTCCTATTGTGGATAAGCTTGAAGAGGTAAACTTGCAGCTCTTTTAAGAGTTTATGGCTATGTTTTGAGATAATTCACAATTTTTACAGTAGTTTCTCAAAAAAAGTATAAAGGGCTCGGAAAGTCTTAGACGTAATTTAGTGAACAGCTGTTCCTGCAGCTCTGGCCCAGAATGCTCCTCACAGCTGAGCAGTTACTAATATTTATTTGCAGATTCTGTGAAAAGATATGGAAAACCCATACAGAAGGAGATGGAGAACAAATTATTCTCTTCTTTTGGAGAACAAACTATTGCTGCATCCAAAAATCTCACTCTAACATTGCCACCCTTTGTGGCTCTGAGGCTGAATTTTTTATATTTAGCATTACATTTTAGGCTAAACAAACTTTGTACGTGGCCTAAAAGAACAGCTGATAACTCCTCAGGTCTGAGGAGCACTTGTAAGGCAGAAAGCCAGTAATCTGTGGGGAGGGGAAGCCCATTTTTTATAGAACGTGTTTTAAATAATTAATGGCCATTTTATCAATTAAGGAAATAACGTATTGCAATACATGGGAGATGGGGTTTTATGTGTTGGATTTCTGTTGGTGGTGTCCATGAAGAAATCACTTGCTTATATGAACTCTGAGCGCAGGCTGTTTCACACAGTAAGAGGCATTCATGAAAATAAAAACAATGATGTAGGACTTCCTGGGTCTAGCCACAGCAGTTGTGAAGGCTGGCTCCAGATGGTGGGAACCCCTCCTCCTCTTCTACTAGCAGTTCTCCAATCTCCTCCCCCACACCTAGCAGAAGCCAAAGCCCCCAAATCCACTCAAAGAAACACTTGCCTGGAGCTGCCGCTTCAGGGTTTTAAGAGTCGGAGAAAAGTCAGAAGCAATCAGACCGCTTCCCCCACTCTGGCAGTTGAGCTTTCTCCTTTACAAAAATCTTTCTCCTCTACGAAAAGCCCAGGCTGTTCTCCAGACGAGTTCCAGCTACAGGCCACTGGCTGCGCCACGCTGACTAAGCTATCGTCTATACAACATGAACACTTCTTACATAATTCATTCACAATCAGCAACACATAAAGTAGGGAGTTTTTTCCTGTGAAATCTTGCAAGCATTTTTCATTCATTTATCAGATAAATGCTCAAGGTAGCTCCATTCACTACCCCGGAAGTCACCATAGGCATGACATACTATCATTACTAATATGATACATATTATTATTACCAATAGAAATGTGTTTTCTTTCACAGTTGAAATATAAAATTATCTGTGTAAAAACTGTCATTTACACCAGATTATGGTCACACAGACCCTATTATTTCTGTACATTATCTTTTGCATATGCTTTTTATACTATGTGTACAAATAATGTTATTTGTATATTAAGTTGTATAGTACGTTTCCTATTGTAAATTTCACTAGATAAACACTTTGTTACTACTCTCCCAGATAATAATTGGGTCTGTTTTCTACCACGCTGCTACTAAGAGTGAATCATGAATCCCTGGAAGCTGAAAGGAATTTTGCTGTTGATCAGGAAGATTAAAGGGGTTTGGATTTCATCACAGGAATTTTGTATTAGTGCATCTAACTGTCTACCTCGCCTTTGGACCAAATTTCCTTCTATTCTACCCTAGTTGCTGCTATCGACATATGAAAACCCAGAGTAATTTCACTTAACTCAGATGAATTACTTGCTTCAGAAACAATGCTGATAACAAATTGTAGCAAATTTTCTAGTCTCAAACCGCAATAGCAGATAAACACTGAAACTTTATAAAAGACACTTCCTTTTCCTACCTGTTCATACCTTGAACATTGCTATTAAGGAACACAAAACATTCACAAGTGTGAGGAAAAGAGGCAGTGGCATAACAATAATAATAGAAAACAAGTTACAACTACTATACTTTAGATCAACAAGATACATGAAGGTAAGTGATCCAATATTAACTTGATTCAGCTCATCTAACAGTTTAAATTGATGGTCCCCAATGTTTTCATGTTTCAGTCATATGTAGGAACTGTTACCTTTGGATAGGTTGGGAACTATTCCAATTAATCTCAGCTTTTCTTCTGACAATGGAATAACTCCAACATCATGAATCCTAATAAGTGCTAAAACCAAAATGCACCAGAGCCCCATGGCAAAAAGAAGTCTCCACTGATAGAAACCACCTCAGTTATTTCAAATACGTTTTAAAGTTTGAATGCTTAACTTTATACAGACAGTTTTTTTGCCAGATCAGATGCTCTTTAACCTCAAGCAGCCACCTTGAAGCTGGTTTAAGCTCTGTATCGTGTGCTTTACCTAAATGAACAGCAATGCAGTCATGTGGCCATGCTTGATCCAGATCAAATTTGTACTGATGGGAGACCAAGGGGTACGCAAATCTGGTATTAATGGTCATGAAACTATGACTTTGTATGACAGTCCAGCTCTAGATACTTTGCGGATTTAATTAACATATTTTTCAATAGACATGGTTTTCCCTTTAACATATCCAGATACTTCTAGTAACAGTTATGTTCTTCTCCACGTAAATCTTTGTGCAATTTGTCATTAAATGTGGATTTCAATACATGAAACAGAAATCAAAAAAAGCCCAACTCCTATCAATCACAACAAACTTAAGATATATTTGAAGAGCTGTTGATATGTAGCTGCAAAACATTCTACTACGTAAAACAGAAATACAAGGGAATAGAAAATGAATCACATCTATACAGTGAAATAATCAAAAAATTAAAAAATCTTACCTTTTTCACTAACACTTTCGCTTTCAATCTCTACATCATCACAACTTGTGTATTCTGGAGTAGAGGCCAGTTCTTCTTCTGAGCTGCTTAACGAAACCTGGCGCATTTTACCTCCCTTTTTGGTTTTATGGGGCTTTGGTGGTGGAGGTCTGACAGATTCAGACTGGTCTGAGCTGAGCGAATCGTTCCGTAACATAGTTTCCATCTTCTCACGTTTTGTTTTCCGTACAGCAGAATTGGGATCCAAATGGTGTTGTTTCCTTAAAGAATCAGAACGCCTCATGTCTGGTCTTTCCAGAGGAATTGGACTCCTCCTAGGTGTAGGAGGGCTATGGTTTGTGGTCCTCTGACGATTGGGACTTGGTCCCTGAGCCTCTCGAGTTCTTTCCATAGAGTATGAACGCTGATTCTCCATGGCAGCTCTGCGCTCAGACACAGATCTTTGTCTTGATGGTCGTTCCATCCTCAGCATAGATATCCGGGAATCTTCCAACTCAGTATTTGCCAATGAGACATCACTATGTCTCCGTTCATGACGTGCTCGGGATACTTCGGCATGGATACGCATTTGTTCCTCATATGGTTGTGGCTTAACTGGATAACGAGCCAGATTAGGATCGCTTCGGTATCGTGCCTGGTATTCCTCTTCCCTCCGCTGCCTTTCATATTCTTCCCTATTCTGTACATCCTCTTCCTCTACCGGATACTCCTTGGAACGCCTGCGACTCCTTCGGTTGGAATCTCTGTAATCACCTGGTTCAGGTTCTTCATATAACTGAGGGCCACGCTGGGACCGCCTATCTGAATAATCTGATGGTGACCTGGGCATTGCACTGTCTGATGTAGCATACTGTGAATATTCGTCTCTTTCTTCCCTTTGGTCGTATCTTCTGTTCTGATCTCTTGATATTGATGGGCTTCTTTTCCTAAATAATCAGTACAAGCAAGAAGAAAGAGAATTCTGTCAATATTGCCCGCTGCACAAATAAACAGTTAACGCTAACTGATACAATAATCAACTCATGGGAAAAAAAAACCATTCATTGCATTTCTTTCTGAATGCGCTTGTGCATTTTCGGCACTAAATTAAAGAAAGCAAGTCATTCTGCAAATCTATTAACAGAGCACAATTTAAGTCACAAATAGCTTTACATAAAAAATGTTAATATGATAATAACATATACTTCAATATATAGAATATAAGAATATAGAATAGTGTAATCATTTAACTGTTTTACAAGAATTTCAGCTTTGTAACCCCTGGTAATGATTTTAAAGTGATATAGCCTGACCTTAAAGTGACATACCTTGATAATATAGTTTTGTTTCTCTTTTACAATCCCTATAGAAATTAAGGCCAGATGGATCATTCAATTAGTCGCTCTGATCTTACAAGAGCCATTATTGCCTAAAAGCATATGCTTCTGTTCTCACAAAACTATAATGCCTGCCAAGAGCAGAAATCAAGACAAAGATCCAATGGCAGCATTTGTCTAAATTACATAGTCTACATAAACTCAGAAAGCAAACAATTTTTGTGTTGTATAAGAAAGCAAAGAAGAGCCTCGAGGTCCTGCCAGTCCGAGCTGACAAAAAACCTCCTTCTCATCCCTACTTTTGACGATAGTATTAGTCCAAGTATGTGAACAAAACACACCAGACAGATACCAGAATGGATTTCCTGTACCACGTTAAGCATTGACTAGTTCTTTGCAATACAGCATATCCGGCCATAGACGATTTCTGAGGCCTCAGAAGTATGTGAAAAAAGAACTGCTCATCAACTGATATTCTTTCCTGGTTCTGACAGATGATTGTCTGAAGCTTTCAGTTTTATTATGGACAATATTTCAATATGGGAAGTGCCTGGAACACATTATGAATGTTATAAATCCCGTTTATTTGATACTGCACTGTTTGCTACTTGGTTAGAAGGGATTAATCATATAGGGGGTAGTGACTCATAGCAGAAAAAAAAGACAAGAGCTTCAGACCAAGCCTTTACCAAATCTTAAAAGTATAATGTGCATGTTAAATGCTACTTCCAGACATGCCCAGCTTGGTACTTTGTTTTTAACCCCAGATGGAACTGGAGGAGTTACCCACAGCAAACTTGGAGCAAAGATCCAAGATGTGGAGAAAAGAGACAGAAAGGCAGCAACTGCTGTGAAGTCTGAATGGCTGCCCTTAGATGTGGGATTTCTCTGGGATAACAGGCCAGCTGAAGCTTTAAGCAACGAAAATATGCATGTAAATATATTCTTATATTATCAACCCTTTGCTCTTCTTATAAATTGTTCTATCTTTATGATTAAGAACCCTTTGTAAATGGTTTTTACCCTCACAAATGGCCACTGATCCTGAAAAGCAGCCTTGCAGGCAGACAGTGAGGAGAAGATCCTGCCTAGTGCGAGGAAGGATGCGGAAAAGAAGATCAAAGCCCTGCTGCTGCCACAGTTGTCCTAAAAGAGATAAGGTAAGGAAAAGCTTCAACTTAGTGAAGGGGAAAAGGAAAAACAGGCTTTTTGATGTCCAGGAAAGCAGGCTGAAAGGGCTCTGCCTTGCTAGTACGCAAGAAAATGCTTTTCTCAGAGCCAGATGGGAAATGCAGTTTCTGCTCAGCAAGGGAACAAAGCCGCTGGCTAAGAAGAGTTTGTGTGGGGGGTGACTGGCAAATTGGCACCCTGTCTTAGGTACCATACAGGGTCACTAAACTGTGCTTGAAAGATTTGGATCCAGTCTTGCCTCGTAAACATTAAAGTACTGTAGCCTTATAATGGCATCTGCAAACGAGGAAACTAATTTAATCTTGCAAAAGCGCAGCTCTTCCTGTGAAGCATGACAAATAATATAAGCATCATTTGGATGCCTATTTGCTTACAGTGATGTTAAGATGTCCTATCTGTCTTATTAAAGTGTCCACGTACGTATCAGCACGTATCCTAACCTCTGCAAATTTAATGAGAACTCTATGGGTCCTGCTATCGAGAAGTCAAATTGAATAGTCCTAATGTGACATGAACAGAGAGTTTCCTAAGTCTAAAACCAGAAGGAATGGGCAATGGGAACAGATAATTCCAGAACTACTAGAATGCAGAGAGTTTGCAGAGACATAGACGTTTTCAGTAATACCACAGAGATATCAGTGAAGAGGTATGTGGGAACTTACTTTTAAGATATTCATTTTCCATTTAAATATCTCAGCCGATAAAACATATGCCACATCCCCAAATAAACTATTCCAGTAGCAAATTACCTTCACTGTTGAAAATTTCAGCCATGCCTATAATAAAAAATTGCCAAACTTCAACTCCCAGATTCTGTCACCCATATTGCAAAATAATAAATCCACGTCACACCGTTCTCATAAAAATGCAAAGAGTAGAGAGAAAGCTGTTCTGGAAACATTAGAACTATAATGGCAGATAAGAGCATGGTGGAGGGAAGGATGGGTTGAAGGGATAAGGAAGATGAAATATCCATATGAGTAAAAATGATTATTATAGACTTTCTGCTGAGATAAATACACTTCTGCCAGGAAAACATTTCATCTGGGGAACGGCTACAAGATTTAGCAGTAAAAATACCCTTTTTTGCTAGCATGAGCTATGTCAATGAGAGTAGAATGTGCCAATATAGCACTATGTTTTTATACCTCTAATAGAAACATTTTCTGACCCTGTATGCTACATCTACCACAAGCAGTCATTGCCTTTGCTCCATTTTGTTGCCAATATATGAATATACCAGCACACCTATGGCCTACAGTAATGTAAAGATCAACTGAGTCCCGAATCTATTCTAAGTTTTCACGGGAGGAAACAGCCTCACAGAGGCGCTCCACATGGCAACTATTAGGCCATGTGCAAGAATTAGGACCTTCCTGTAAGGGCAACTTGCACTTGCAACCTTGCACTTGCACTCTTGCAACCTTTTTCTTCAGAGAAAGCAGCCCGACAGGTAAAAGTCACTAATTTAATTCCTGGCCTATGTTGACTGGGACTGTGAAACTCTCTTTCCAATTAATTTCATCCCTGCTGAAGGGATTTAACTTCACTACCAGGATCAAATGCCAGAAGTTGTAATCCTATCAATCAGAAATAAATTAACTTTACCTGTGCATCTGATGGGCCAGGAACCTTGCTAGCAAGAAAAGGCTCATCCTGTCCAGCAGTCACCACACTACTCATTATTCAAGCCTGTGCACTTTATTGGTCATCATAATACAATCAGCCCCTGCTTTACCATTACTCTTTTTTTTTGGTTATAAAAATACCTGCTACAAATATATCTGTACAATGTATATGCTTTAAAACATACGACAGGATGTATAGTACACATGAAAACTTACATAGTCTGACACTACTATTAAAAATCTGCTGTTATTTTTAGATCACAAGCTAATTCTCACTCACCTTCATGAGCCTTTGCCTAATCCATTTCTCACTATCACCTACCTTTAAGATACCTTATAAAAGCCTTTCCTCGTGTTCCTCCAGCTAGATGCACCGTGGAAAATCATTACTCTTGTCCTTGCAGGACTTTACTGGGACATTAAAAGCTAAGAGAATTTTGAATGTTTGACAACAGCTGTGATACACACCATCCAGCCTGCAGCCCAACTAACCACTGTGTATCTCCTGTCAGAAGGACTACCACCTTTTCTGAAAAGGTTACTACTCCACTGAAAAATCCTCAAAGTCATTGTGATTACTGTTTCTTTGAATCAATAATAAAATAAAAACCCTACTATATTTAGAAAACTCTAAAATTTACACAGGTCTTTATGTTAGGCACATTCTATAAATATTATTAACAAATTTTCAGATCTAGAAATCAAAATTTATTTTCTACTAATTATCACTGTACATAAAATTTTTTCTTTTCCTCTTATGAAGAGATGACATTTACTCTTGTAATACGTACCTCTAAGCCTTCCACTGGTGGAAACCTTATTTACAGTGCAATGCAAATATCACTAGTACTACAAAAAAGCAAATGGCTTGACTGTAATCTGACCTCCTGCTCATATAGTTAAATTACTCAGCTCCCCCACACTCCAATAGCAGATAAGTACTTTAAATATGGCACACAAGAATACAGTAAGTCTGCTTTGATGACTCTGATTTCAGTACTAGAACTATATAGTTTGAAAATCTTTGGCATTCATTTGTATTCTTCCTTGACGAGAAAAATACCTTTCTGCTTTTTGCTGTAGATTTTTTAAAAAATGACCATAAGAGTATTGAGGAAGAAGAAAATATGAAAAGGCAAGTTTCCATCACTTTACAAAAGCTAGTCACATTCAACCACACTGTAAAACAAAAAATTTAATATTACAGTCAAAACTAGATCTCAGATCTTCCTGGCTACTAATCTTGTTCTCAGAACAACAGAAGACAGTTAAATTGGAGAAAACTTTCAAGAAAATATCATTCTAAAGCTCCATTCACACACACAGGTACCTGAAATCATCCACATAAATTTGGAGATTTTTATAAATAAGAAGTTTTAGGCCAATTAAAGAAAACAGTAAGTGCTCAGTTGGCCTGAGTCATGATCAGCTATTTGAAAATATACTAGTCACCTATTCGTAACACTTCATTATAATTTACCAAAAGATAGTCTAATATTTTGATCTCTATTCCCTATACATTACCAAGGAACACAATTGACCAAAAAATTAAAACTGAAAATATTTGTCCTGTACCTATTCTAAATGAATTAGAAAGATGACTGCATTATTCTATTACAATTTTTATCTGTCTGGTCTTTCCTAGAAAAGTTATTTTCCTTCTATTTCCAGGAATAAGAAATGTTTCAGAATTAATTTGAGCACTCATAAAAGAGAAATACATGAACTGAGAAAGATTCCTTATACTTTCTTTTGTTTCAGCATCAGTAAAACTATGCTCATGTTTTAGTA